TGCTAAAGAGAAGCAGAGTAAGTTCTAGAAAATTATCATTATAAACTTTGAACCTAGAAGGGAAAAACATGACTTGTCATTTTACATTCTGTGTCTCTTTTACTTTTCTTAGTTTCTTAATCAGGGTCTTGGTTGGTGTCTGATGTTATGGTAGGTCTTGGTCTGGCATGGTGGGAAGGGAGTTGAAGATAATTGCTGATTGATGGATAACTGAACAAAATACGCAAGAAAGATAAGCTTGGAAAATAAGTGTCTCTTTCACCAGTATGAGCTGCACTCAGCCACGCTCTCTTACGGCATGGAAGCTGGCTGGTGAAAGCAAAGGCCACATTCCTTGAACAGGATTAGTCTTTACATCAAATTTATGGTAGTAAGGTCAACAAAGTCTCGTTATGTTCAGGAGGAGGTGGTTGCAATGTCATTGTGACATTGGAAACATCTTGGTAATAACATTCCAGAGTCCCTCAGCATAACATTCGGGATGTAATCTGAGTGAGCAAGTGCATGGTGCATTTCTTTGAACTTTGACTTGCAACAGGTGGGTGAGGAGTCTCTTGACTCAATGAAGTACCGTCATCTGAAGGGTGGTCTGTTAAAACAGACTTTCTGGCAGTACCTTGCCCTACGGTTTAGGATCCAGAACAAAGAAACCAGTGGTTCTGTTGGTCTGGAACTGGATTGGTTCTTGATGAAAACAAATCTACAAGGGAATTCTGACTTCCCCATTCCAATATACACAGCTGCCAGATGCCTGGAGAGCCAATGCTGGTTTGTCCCCTGCTAGCCACAGTTCTCAGAGGTTAAGTACGTGGCTAAAGTAGGTTTTCCTGTGTTCTTTCTCAGAGTAAGGTCAGCGGCCCCTGCCCAGAGACTGATTCTCTCCTGCCTTGGCTTCCTGAAAGCCTAGTTGATGTCCCTTTGTGGCAGAGAAAGGGGCAAGGTCATAGTAAATCTGCCTTTCTGAAAGCTGTGCTGAAATGACGCCAGGATTAGGACACTGAAACCCCTGTCAGGGTGGGAGGGTGAGTGGGAGGGCTCAGAATCTTGAGGGAGCCCACACACCAGGTTCTCAGAAGAAGCTGCTGGTCTCCTGATTATGATGAGCCCCCCTGTGTGTTCTGGCTGCTGCTATCAGTGTGTCATTCATTTTGAGTTAGCCTCAAATAAAAGACATATCGTTTTGCTTTAGAGACTATCACATTAGGACATCTTACACCATGTTGATGACCCAGTGAAAGGAGAGCTGGAAGCCTTCCCCAAAAGCATAATAGCACAGTTGACATTTTACTGATGTTTTATGGTGAGCAAGCCAAAGGGGTATTATGGTTTTTTTCCTTTCTGGAAACCTTCTCACTGCTGTCCATCAAAAAATCAAGTTTCTCATAGACTTCTCAAAGTAATTCGTCAAAAAGATGGCCTAACCCAGGAATACCACTGGAGCTGTAGGCTGAATGGGAGAGGTGGCATACATGGCCTGTGGTGCTGCCCAAATTAAATGGCAAACCCTGGGCTGTTGAGAGCTGATGGAAGAATAAAAGTGAATTGTTCCCTGTAAAATCTTCAGTGTAGAAGTGCTCTAAAAAATATTTTGTTCTACAAAGATCTGATTATCTTCCATGAATTGGTTCTGCAATCCAGGTGACATGGTTGACTTTATTGAGTGCCCATTGTTCACAGAACTCTGTCAATGGTTAGAGAGGTTTGGAGACCCAGGAACTTAAATAGCCACAGAAAGATAAAGACTACACGAGGAAAATAATTTTTCTCCTAACAGCCTTAGTTAGATTCCCCTCAAAGCAGAACGTAAGACAAGGATTTTGAGTGCAGAGAGTTTATTTGGGAAATGATCCCAGGGACCAGGTGTGAGTAGTGGAAAGAATGAGGTAAGGAAGAAGGAAAAGTTAATATAAGAGTACAATTCCAAGGCCACAAGGACTTGATGGCACCAGAATTTCTGAGAAGCATTCAGGGCACCTCCTACAACTACCTTGTGAGGGGTAGGAGGCTGGCCATTTAACCACCAGCTTTTGTGTTCTTTCTGGCTAGCCCCAATGGCTTGAGCTCCACCACCTGTGCAGGCAGTACTTGTGGCATGCAGGCAGGCTCAGAGGAGATCCTGCAGCCAGAAATGGAAAGTCTTCAGGCATGTGCTTTTGGTGGGGTGTTGTCAACAGTGAATGAACCTGCACTTGCCCAGAACCATCTAGTACAGCTGCAGCTGAAATAAGAGTTCACAAGCATCTAAAGAGAAATCAGTGTTCCCATATGAAAAGAACTGGTGTGATAGAAATACCAACAGGGGCACCTAACCCAGAGATTAGGGAAGGCTTCCTGGAGGAAGTGGTTTTAAAGCTGAGATAAGGCTTGATATGGTGGCTCATGCCTATAATCCCAGTATTTCGGGAGACCAAGGCAGGAGGATTGCTTGAGTCCAAGAGTTTGAGACCAGCCTTGGGCAACATAGCAAGACCCTAGCTCTAGAAAACATAAAAAAAATTAGTTGAACGTGGTGTCACACACCAGTAGTCTCAGCAACTCAGGAGGCTGAGGTGGGAGGATCACTTGACCCGGGGAGGTTGAGGCTGTAGTAAGCTGTGATTTCACTGCTGTACTCCAGCCTGGGTAACAGAGTGGGAACCTGTCTCTAAAAGAGTAAATACATAAAAATTTATTTTAATTATTATATTTTTAAAAAGGGTCAATGGGCCTGGCCTCGGTGGCTCACACCTGTAATCCCAGCACTTTGGGAGGCCAAGGTGAGCAGATCACCCGAGGTCAGGAGTTTCAGACCAGCCTGCCCAACATGGCGAAACCCTGTCTATTAAAAATCAAAAAATTAGCCAGATGTGGTGGAGGGCACCTGTAATCCCAGCTACTTGGGAGGCTGAGGCAGGAGAATTGCTTGAACCCGGGAGGTGGAGGTTGCAGTGAGCCGAGATCATGCCACTGCACTCCAGCCTGGGCAACAAGAGAGAAACTCCATCTCAAAAAATAAAAATAAAATAAAAAGGAGTCAGTGAAGAGACATTTAAGCAGAAAGACATGATAAGCTTTGTGTTTTGGAATATTCAGTCTAATTACAGCATGTCAGTAGATATCAGGATAGGACCACTGAGTGAGGATGGGGAAAAACAGGTTAGGGAGACCAGTAAAGAGGCTGTTTAGTTATCCAGGTGATATAAGAATGAGAAGTCGGGCAGTAGCAGTAAGGAAGATGAGAAGGAAAAAGATTTGAGACACAGTAAGTTTCCATATCCCCACTCATGGTCCATTCCTGGTAAAATGGTGAAAGAGAAAGAGTATGTGTGTGTGTGCGCACATGACATTGTAGGAGTTGAGTTGTCTAGAAAACAGCGCTTAGAAGATATGAATTGAAAGCTCATAAAGAGCTATTGGAGTTCTCTTAAGCAAACTGGGAAGTAAAGTAACTGAAGAGAAAATCTCTCCAGTCACTTCTATCTGGAGGTGAGATAGTGCAGTGCAGACTGAGAGTCAGGAGAGGTCTTGCTTTGTCCCGGATCTCTGTTGTCTATTGCTTTGACCCGTGTTTTTTCATTTAACCTCTCTGAACTTTGTTTATTTGTCCAACTTAATACAAAGATGATGAAGCTTGCCCAGCCTATTCTGAGTTGATCTTAAGCTCAGCATGTACTGGGGTGTGACCCAAACAGGGAAGCTGACATCCTCTCTACTAAAGTTAATAGAATGAGAATGCTTAGGGTCATTGTTCAGTCCCAGCAGTCTGGTGTTCAGTGTGGACGTTGGCCTGTTGGCTCACCCCAGGCACAGGGGGTGAGTGGTTGTTCACCGTGCTGTGCGGCAGGGATGTGGGGTTTCGGAATGGGTTAGGGTGATACTAGGTTATTTCAAAGGTGATCCCTTCCAACTCTGAGACTGGGTCCTGTGTCACAGGCCTTAGTAAGAGTTAGATGAGATCATGGCTACAAAAGCACTTGGAGAACAAACATTCTAGACAAGTAAAGGTATTATTATCAGTAGACCATTTGACATTAGCTTATAGTTTTTAAATGTTTAACTTTCTTGCATATCCCCATGAGGCAGAAAATAACTTCCAAGTTCCTACATGCTGGTAGATGATTTCGTTTCATTTCATAAAGAGACCAAACTTTCCCTCATACCATCTTCTTAACTGCATTTTGCTTTTCTTACATTATCTCATATGTTTAACAATGACTGGAAATATTTGACTTGCCAAGACTTGAATTTGGGCATCTGGGGTTTCTCCCACTGTCCATGATAGCATCACCAGCAAGTGGAGCACAGGCTGTACATTCCGCATGTGAGCTTTCAGAGTGAGGAATGTTCTCCACCTCCTGGGAAAAACCAGGGCCCAATTCACAGGAGTTGAAAGGAAACTGATTTTAGAACCCTTTTACAGTACTGTGACTTTTCACTCATCAGTGCTGGGAACTGGTTCTCTTTCTGTTAAAAGAATCCCCTGGGGCTTTAAGCTTAAACGATGACAGTGACTCAGAGTGGCTCATGCTTATTGCACCTTGACGCTGTGCCAAGTGCAATTTTAGCCCTTTACATGTAAAATACACCACAGCCTGTGAGTAAGCATTCGCTTTGTAGATTAGGAAACCAAGGAACATGCAGTAAATAACTAGCCTAGAGTCGCACAGTTAAGCTGGAAGTTGGACCTTGGCATGTGACTCCAAAGCCCTGCCTGAAGTGCTGCTCCTCCCCTCCTTGCAAGCAGAGACCTGCCACACAGAGCCCACAGAGGTCTGAAGGAGGCAGGATTTCCTGTTCGCAGCTCAGGAGAGCAGACAGTGGTGTTAAGCAGGAAAAGCACATTAGAATTCCAGTTTACTTACAGTGCTCTCCACACCAGGAAGGAAATGCCCCAAATATGAACATGACTTCCACTAAGATAAATGGCTACAATCTAGGGGATTCCCATGTGCAGCAGAAAAAGTGTTAATCTAGAGATCAGAGTTTTTACCTGCTACCTCTTTCATATTTTCTTTCCTTAGGTTAAAAAGATCAAGTGGCATGAGCAACCTTTTGGGGAAAATTGGTGCCAAGAAACAGAAAATGAGCACCCTCGAGAAGTCCAAACTGGACTGGGAGAGCTTCAAGGAGGAAGAGGGGATTGGTGAAGAACTGGCCATCCATAATCGAGGGAAAGAGGGGTAAGAAGGAGTAGGTTATATGCCTTGAAAAATCCTCAGAACCCTGAAATCAAATGATTTATTGGAGACAGACTGCCCACTGTAAGCAAGCAGGAGCTTCTCATGATGGAACTAAAAATGTGAGCACTTTGTTCTGTCAGTAAGGCTTTGTTCCAATGTGGGGCAGGGCCCGTCACTGGGAAGGCCACTGCAGATGGAGGGAAGGTGGGGCATGTGAGGAGTACTCTCAGGGCCAGTCACGTCTGCCAAGCTGAATTTGCTGAATTACAGCTCCAGTGAACTATAAGTTGCCTAGTGGTTGGATCTGGCCCATGGTAGCAGCCTTGGCCTTATCTGAATCATTTGTCCTTCTGAGAAGCCAAACTAGTTCAAATCTTTCAAAAACAGAGCCACTGGAGTGCCTAGATGTTGCATTATTGTGACATTTTTTTTTGGTCTGTGTCATCATGGCCCAGGGTGGGGCTTTACCCTTGGCTATAGCCTGTGTGATAGGCCAGGCCCTCAGACAGCACCACAGGCCATCACTTGCACCTCTTTCTCTTCACTGTGGAATACAAAGAGGATGTTCATAACCTATGTATTCAGTTGTAAAAAGGGTCCTTTCCTTGTCATATTTGTCTTACTGGTGATTAAACAAAACATCAAGAAAGAAATGGTGGCCAGGCATGGTGGTTCACACCTGTAATCTCGGCACTTTGGGAGGCTGAGGCAGGCAGATCACTTGAAGTCAGGAGTTCGAGACCAGCTTGGCCAACATGGCAAAACCCCATCTCTACTAAAAATACAAGAATTAGCCAGGCATAGTGGTGCACGCTTGTAATCCCAGCTACTTGGGAGGCTGGGGCAGGAGGATCACTTGAACCCGGGAGGTACGGAGGTTGCAGTGAGCCAAGATTGAACCACTGCACTCCAGCCTGGGTGACAGAGCAAGACTCTGTCTCAAAAAGAAAGAAAGAAAGAAAGAAAGAAAGAAAGAAAGAAATGGTGTTCATAAGTACTTAGGGACCTCAGAAGGCACCAAGGAAGTTACCACAGAAGTGACTTCATGGCTCAAAATCAATAGTCCTCACCCCTAGCCATGAAAGGAAATGTTGAGTGTCCCACTCAGAGAGCCCTGGCTGCTCAGCAGCTCTGCCCTCACCAGTAAGCTCTTCTCCAGCAGCATGCTGGACACCTCTGAGGCTCAGCTCCATCACCAATAAAATTGGGATAATGATACCATCCTCGCTATGTGGTTGTGATGATCTCATGAGATAATACATGTATTGCTTACATATATGTAATATGCATAAAGCACTTTACGGAACACCTGTCACATAAAGGCTTGCATTAAGTCCAAGTCATTCAAGTTTTTTTTTTTTTTAAGAGAGAGAGTCTCACTATGTTGCCCAGGCTGGTCTCAAACTTTTGGGCTCAGGCAATCCTCCTGCCTTGGCCTCCTATGGAGCTAGGACCACAGGGGCACATCCCTGCACCTAGCTCATTCAGGTTATTAATGATAGGCAAAGGATTTATTTTGGGGGAGGTCATATTTCTAAATTAGGCTTCAAGATTATCTAAATGAACCTGGAAGCTGACCAGTATTTTTTTTTAACATTATTTATTTATTTATTTATTTATTTAGAGAGGGAGTCTCACCCTGTCACCCAGGCTAGAGTGCAGTGGCGCGATCTTGGCTCACTGCAACCTCCGCCTGCCGAGTTCAAGCAATTCTTCTGCCTCAGCCTCCCAAGTAACTGGGATTACAGACATGCGCCTCCATGCCTGCTAATTTTTGTATTTTTAGTAGATAGAGATGGGGTTTCACCATGTTGACCAGGCTGGTCTCGAACTCCTGACCTCATGATCCACCCGCCTCGGCCTCCCAAAGTTCTGGGATTACAGGCATGAGCCACAGCGCCCAGCCCAAAAAAAAAAAACATTTTAAACAGCTTCATGAGCTTGTTTAACTAGCAGACTTCTAGGTCAGTCTAAGCTGGAATGCTACAGGACAGGGAGAAGGAGCCAGAGTGATCAGGGGAAGGCTCCACATAAAGTGCAGTGTTGTCTCTTCACGAGTGGCAGCTCTGACATGCACCCCAAACCTCTCCATTCAGATTCAGCTCTAGTAACTTGCAGCTCCGTCCTGTTCTCCACTCTTGCACGGTGATCTGAGACAGCAGAGGAACTATCAGTGTGTGCTACACATTATTGCTTTTCTGAATATTGATTATTTGAGTTGGACAGTGTTGACTCTGCTTGAGTTAATAGCGGTCTTAGAAAAGTAAGGAGTGCTGGGAGCAGTGGTTCACTCCTGCAATCCCAGCACTTTGGGAGTCCAAGGCAGGAGGATTGCTTGAGCTCAGGACAAGCCTAGGCAACATAGCAAGACCTCGCCTCTACTAAAAATCCAAAACATTAGTTGGGCATGGTGCACACCTGTAGTCCCAGTTACTTGGGAGGCTGAGGTGTGAGGATCGCTCACCTCTAGAAGATCGAGGCTGCAGTGAGCTCTAATCGCACCAGTGCACTCCAGCCTGGGTGAAAGCGTGAGACTCTGTCCCAAAAAATAAAAATTTTCAATTAAAAAAAGGTAAGGAGTGGTGCTGTTAAAGATAGGAAGAGTTAACAAAATGTAGACTAGAAGAGAAGACAAGATTAAAAATAACATCTGCCTAGTGAGAACTTTTCAGGAGGGGAAAGTCACACAATTGGGTTAGGGAACAACTAACTAATACTGTTCTCCTTTATGCTCTGCTTTTCCCTCCTTTGTTTGAGGCTTCTCCCCTCATTCACCCAGCCAGATTCCACAGATGTGACTGTGTTTTCAGTGCAGATCTACTGGCTCTGTGCTCTGCCTCAGCCCTTCTCATCTGCTTTCTTGAGTGCCCAGCCCCATACCTCCACTCACTCTCCTTTTCTGGCTCCCGCAGATGGTTTAAGGGAGCCCAGCCCCTAGGCCAGTGAAGGGACTGGAGCTCTGTTCCTCACCTTGGCTGAGCATGAGAATCCTCTGGTGACATTTTCCAAAGTTCAGGTGACCACCTCTGTACACAGCTGCTGAATCAAGAGTCTAGAACAGGTAGGTCACAAATATCTGCATCTTTAAATTTTATTTCTCAGGTAATTCTCATGCACAGCCAAGGTTGAGAATCACAAGACCACAGGTTCAAAATTCTAGAGGCATAAGACAGGTGCAGTGACATGCACCCGTAGTCCCAGCTACTCACAGCACTCCAGCCTGGACAACAGAGAAAGGTCCTGTCTCTTTACAAAAAAAAAAAAAAAAGACACAACGAAACTCTAATGTTGAGAAAAAAGAAACTTAAAGCAAGGAAATGAACACACAGACACAGGCTCTGGGCAGGCTGTCACCTGAGTGAGCTGCAGGTTTTTGGGGAAGAATTATACAGGCACCTCCTCGGGGCTCCAGCCTTCTACTTCTAACCAAGTCAGAGCCACGCGAGCACTTGTTTTATAATGATTCATTGCCCTTGCCCAGTTCTTGCACTCTTCTGTATGTATGTTTTACAATAAGCAATTCAAATATTGGGTCTTCCCATACCATGGGTACCAGCCCCATTTTCTTCATCTGTAAAGTAGAAACATTTTAATATACCTCTCATGATTATTGTGGGAATTATATAAGTAGAGGAAAGGCCGGGCATGTTTTTCAATAGGAGTCCTCTCCCTTTTCCATGAGTCCTGTGCTCACTTTTCTTTCTCCCACCTGCCATTACTGACCCCACCATACCTCGGGCCTTACTGGAAAACTAGATGCTTTATTCCTTTAAGTTTCTTCTTGATGTGTTCCTGCCAACTCTTCAGGAATATTTACCACAGTGGTGGGAAGCAGAGCTTGGTGGCATCTCCGCCCAGACTCCCTGGCTGGCTTTTCTTCCTTCCCTGGGCCTTTAAACTTGGAAAGTCCCAGGGCTGGGCCCTGGGCAGCCATCTCTTCCTCCCCAGGAAAGCTCACAAGTTGCAAGTTGCAGCTACCATTCTTAACAGAAGACTCAAAAAAAAAAAGTATCCCCTGCTCTGACCATTCCACTAAGGTCCGGACTTACATTTCAGCTGTTAGTTGACATCTCCTTCTGGTTGTCCAAGACACATCAAACTTCACTTTCAAAACCAAATACTTGCTTTCCCTCCATAAACAGAACCCTCACTCCTCAGAATTCTTAGAAAATGGCACATCACTGTGTACCCTACTGTTAAAAGAAAAACTTGGGGCTGAGCATGGTGGCTCACGCCTGTAATCCCAACACTTTGGGAGGCCGAGGCAGGCAGATCACCTGAGGTCAGGAGTTCGAGACCATCCTGGCCAACATGGTGAAACCCCGTCTCTACTGAAATACAAAAATTATTTTTTTTTGTATTTCATGCCACCGGGCATGGTGGTGGGCACCTATAATCCCAGCTACTCGGGAGGCTGAGGCTGGAGAATTGCTTGAACCCAGGACGCAGAGGTGGCAATGAGCCGAGATCATGCCATTGCACTCCAGCCTGGGCAACAAGAGCGAAACTCCGTCTCAAAAAAAAAAAAGAAAAACTTGGGCTTCATCCTTGATTTCCTGTCTTTCCACCAACGTCCCACAATTCCAGTTGATGGTTTCATCACAAAATACTTCAGCTCATTTATATTCGTGCAGCCCCACTACCGCCACCCCAGTACAGGCCGCAGACATCTCCTCCGCTCCCTGCTTCTACCTCTGTACCCTTTCATCCATTCTCCACCCAGCAGCAGAAGCAGTCATTTAAAAATACCATTTTTCATCTCTTCCCTGCGGAACGCCCCCCGGTAGCCCTTCAAATCAGTGTTAGCCAGGCCCTCTCCCAGCTGTCCCCTGCCTACCTCTGTCCTCTTCTCCCCTAGCTCGCTGCAGGCCATCCTCACTGTCTCTATGTAGTGCTCCTCCCCCGGGAGGCTCTGGTTTGTCATCCAGGGCTCTACACGGGTGGCATTCTAGAGTAACCCCAACCCAAGGAACCCTCAGTCACATTACCCTGTTTGGTTT